AGTCTTTAATAGAGCTTAATTTCTGTAACCCCTGATTGCATCAGCAGTAGGGGCAGATTCTATTCTTCATGACTCTGGTGTAAATCCAGAATGACCTCACTTATGTGAATGGAGTCAGGGTCGGTCATACTGGTTTATATCCACAGTAATCCTTTTGGGTTTACTGGGGTCACTCCGCATTTATTCTAGTATGAGATCAGAATTGGGTCCTTTGAATTACTGTTTATATGTGAGAAACCCACTGTTACAGGATTGAGAGTAACTCAGTAGCAGCCTGGATTAAAAATATAGTTCAAAACCTTTGCGTGTTATCCACAATCTGAACATGGCTCTAGATCTTAAAGGAACAAACAACGACCAACACGCTCAAGCCTATTTGCTAATAAGAACAACCAGAATGCAACCCTGACTCCATAGATGTCAGGGGAATCACCCTGGATTTACACCAGTCATGAAGAATAGAATCTGCCCCTACTGCTGATGCAATCAGGGGTTACAGAAATTGAGCTCTATTAAAGACTCCCCATCATTTTCTTTGTTTCCCTTTAATCTTTTCCAAGAACCAGAGCACCCCCCAGCATGACTGAGAGATACAGAATGTTCCACCTATTACCCTGAAAAACTGGCTTTGGGGAACCTCTTGACTAACCTGCCTATCTCATTTTTTATGTCTGTGTGTGGAATTAATTTTGTTATGTGCACCGGTATGGAAGTAATGTGTGACACATCACCTTCATATTATCAGAGGGGTGGCCGTGTTAGTCTGAATCTGTAAAAAGCAACAGAGAGTCCTGTGGCACCTTAAAGACTAACAGATGCATTGGAGCATAAGCTTGTGAATACCCACTTCGTCAGATGCATGTAATGGAAATTTCCAGAGGCAGCTATAAATATGCAGGCAAGAATCAGTCTGGAGATAACAAGGTTATTTCAATCAGGAGGGTGGGGCTCTCTTCTAGCAGTTGAGGTGTGAACACCAAGGGAGGAGAAACTGCTTTTGTAGTTGGCTACCCATTCACAGTCTTTGTTTAATCCTGAGCTGATGGTGTCAAATTTGCAAATGAACTGAAACTCAGCAGTTTCTCTTTGAAGTCTGGTTCTGAAGTTTTTTTTGCTGCAGGATGGCTACCTTTAAACCTAGTATTGTGTGTCCAAGGGGTTCGGAGTGGGGGGGGGCTCAGGGCTGGGGCAGAGGGTTGGGGTGTGGGGGGATGAGGGCTCTGGCTAAGGGTGCAGACTCTGGGGTAGGGCAAGGAATGAGGGATTTGGTGTACAGGAGGGGGCTCAGAGCTGGGGCAGAGCATTGGGGTGCAGGGGTTGGAGCCAGAGATGAGGGATTTGGGGTGCAGGCTTCCCCAGGGCTGCAGTCAGGAGAGAGGACTCCCCCCAGCTCTCTCTCGCCGCAACAGCTCTGGGCGAGGCACCACTCCCCAACCACGGCAGCTCCAGCGGGGCTGGGCCGGGCCGAGGGAGGGGCTCCTCTCCCCCAGCCGCAGCAAGTCCAGGGGGGCCTCTCCCTGCCACGGCAGGGCCCCGCTGATGCATCTCTCCCCGCCGTAGCCCTGGGCCCCCCTGCGCTGGACTTAACAGTCGGCTGCGCAGCTTAGAGGGAATTTAGATTGTGGGTCTTCCCCAGGTATCCTGATCTAAATGTGCCACTAAGCCAGTAGGATCATATGCTGACACTGGAGAAACCAGAGGGGCCCAGCCTCCCTCTGCTTGGGGATGTGGGGGAGCTGTAGGTACAGTTTCCTCATACTTTAGTAACCTTCAAAGCAGCTCTGCAGCAGGTAACCTATCCGTCTGGTCTCTGCTCTCATATTGTAACAGCCACTTCCACACTAAGTTTCTCCAGAATTTCTGCTGTTCTTTGTGAGGATTCCTATTAATTTCCCCATTCTGGCTACTTCGGGGGCCCCCTTTTCCCAGTTGCTGGTCTCCTAATTCCTCTCTCAATCATTCTAGCTGCCTTTTAAACTGTCCTGTCAGCTAGCAGATCTTTACTACACATGCTGATCGCGAGTTGTTTACCACACAGTTATGCTGCACCTGTTTCTGCCAGTTCTGTGGTTTTTTCTGTTCTCTTTTTCCCCCCCAGCTGAACTTTCAACCTGCAGAGTTTTCGACCTTTTGGACTCCTTTTTTTTCCTTCAGCTGAACTGTTGACTTCTTGGCCTATTTTCAGCAATGATGTATCACAGGGGTAGGCAACCTATGGCACGCGTGCCGAAGGCAGCACGCGAGCTGATTTTCAGTGGCACTCACACTGCCTGAGTCCCGACCACCCGTCCAAGGGGCTCTGCATTTTAATTGAATTTTAAATGAAGCTTCTTAAACATTTTAAAAACCTTATTTACTTTACATACAACAATAGTTTAGTTATATATTATAGACTTATAGAAAGAGACCTTCTGAAAACGTTAAATTGTATTACTGGCACCCGAAACCTTAAATTAGAGTGAATAAATGAAGACTTGGCACACCACTTCTGAAAGGTTGCTGACCCCTGATGTATCATGTGACCTGCAACTTCTAATGGTGGAATAACCTCTGCGCATTCAAAATGCAAGCTAGGGACACCAAACGGAGCCTGGAGAATCTCTCCGGTATCACACCATCTCTTACCCTGCAATCCAGGCACTGGGATTCAAATCCTTCACACAGGCCTCTGAACTCCCACCCTCCACTTCCTGTGACCCCTCTTAGCTCAGTTCACCCACACAGAATCCCTACCCCCCAGACTTCTTATTTCCACACAGCTGTGATTTTCTGGATTCCACAGATCACAAAGGAAAAACACACACACAAACCCCATCTTTCAGATCCAAATATTTATTTTCACCTCTTAGGTCTAACTACCGGAAGCTCAATACGTGGATAGAAAAATATCACTAGTTTAAAAAAAAAATGGATAAAGAATTAATATAAGTATTTATAAAACAGCCAATGAGGGAAGTTTTCTCAACAAGTCTCCAAAAAGAGTTTTTATCAGGGTATTTGGTGTAATGTTTTTTCTCCCTGGTTCTTCCCAGGCAAGCCAGCTTCAGAGCTGCCAGGCCGATCCCCTGAAAATAGGAGACTTTAAAATCTCAGCAAAAGCAGCTGTTTTGCCAAGCAAAGCTGCAGGTCATTTTGTTAGCAGTACATTTCTCTTTGTTGATTCCCGTGTAACAGCAGAATTTTAGGTGTGTGTATATGAAATTACGACTAATTGATCTGATTTGGGTTGTGTGGATGCTGGGGTGGCGCTGATGGCCTGTGAGCTACAGAGGTCAGACTGGCTCATGGTCTCTTCTGGCCTTCAGCACTGTGATTTAGAAGGTAATCAAGAACTTGAGAGTGAGTACTGAAAAGACCCTTAGCAGAGCTCTTCCCTTCCTGGCTCAGATTGGGTTGATTTTCATCTCTGGAATAGGCTGCATT